CTCTTTGCACCATGGCACAAAACCCTCCTCTTCTACCACAGGGTTAATCGAACCCAGGTGATTCACACTTTGCATGCCCCCCCATAAAAAAAAACAAAAAACATAACAAAAAAATAGGGAAAATGAAATATAAGGAAAATAAAATACAGTTCTTACTTTTCCAGCCTTGGCGACAGCGTCCATTTCCACTTCTCGGGCTCCCTCGATGAATTTTGTGAGTACAACCGGGTGCTCCTGTCACCAGGACAAGACAGAAAATGAAACTTTTAGGAGAGCACATTTTTGGTCCCACGGGAGCTGTTGACCCTGGGAAACCGTCTGGAGGCACCGCGAGGGAAACGTTCGCATTCTCACTTCACAGGCACAAACGCAGCCCTGGCAAGATGAAAGAGCATCGCCCGGACTGTCTCCTGAAAAGTGCTGCACAAGAGGCGTGGCTCACCACGATAACAGTGGCAGGCAGAGAAATTCTGGTGAAATCCTGAGTCATGACAGTTATCGGCCACACCCCCATCCAGCGCTCCCGGCATTTCACCTCCAGGGTCTTGATTCCCAAACCGGTGCCTTAACTACCAGGCAACGTTCCTCCGCTGAGAACGCCACAGCCTCCTCCGGGTTTCGGTCACCGGTCCACAGGGTGACTGGTAATCTGCCTAACTGAGGACTCTGCACTACCGATTGCTCCCTCAGGGGCGCCCCTTATTTCAATTCATGCCCCCCATCGCTGAATCTACTGCACCACTTAACTCCCCCATTTCCCCACTGATGAGCTGCCACTCAACTTGGGCCACCATTAGTCATCCTGGGCTCTCTCCAAATCCCCTCCCCCGGGACAGTCTCTGCTGTCGTCTTTTTGGCCTTCTGCGCTCTCTGGCACACCAGAGAGAGTTTATCGCCTTCTACCCCCTCTGGCTCCTCACAGAGCCCGGCTCCGCCCACAGATGCCACAGGCATTGCCTCCGACTCTGCCTTTTCTCTGACTTTGCCCACACATCCAAGCAGCTCCTTGCAGCATAGCACTGCCAGGACCCTGCTTTCCTCACCATCCCCATGGCAACACCATCATCTGGGCTGCCGTCACCTCTTCGCGCAACCACTGTAACTTCTTTCAGGGCTCCTCAATGCCCACCCTCTCTGGTTGTTTTCCCTGCCTGTCACTTTACCGTGGCATCCCCTTCCCTGCCTCCCACTTCGCCAATGAATTGAATTCAGGATTCTTGCCCTTCCTTTCAAGGCCTTTCACAGCCTTTTCCCTCCTTGCTGAGCCATTCTTTCGTTGGGCAACTCCGTTCCACAGCTTCCCTCCTCCAACACTGGACTTTCCACTTCTCCCACAAGCACCTCCAAAGCTTTCTGCTGGGCCACCTGCTCCGCGTACCACCGCTTCCCTGGACCAGTCCATAATTCAACCTGCCTCTGTCAAATCCCACTCTGAGAATTACAGCAAATTGCCAAGTACTATTGGCTTGATACTAGATTTACCCAGCATTGCTTGGGCCCTTAACGCAATCAGTGTTTGTTTTTTAGAAAATAAAATGGTGACCCTGGTGATGAGGGGTTGAGGATGCAGGCTGCATTGGGGAGAGAGGACAACCCCAGCCCTCTCTCGCCACAACAGGTTGGAACCAGGTGAGAAGTGCCTCTCCAGCAGGCACAGCCAGGGGAGAGGTCCATGTCCCCTGGGTGGGGCAGGTCCAAATTTGTCTTCTCCATGCACTTTCCTCTTGGGGAACAGCCTGCAATGTTCCCAATATGAACCAGGGGGTCAGTGAGGTCTCCAGCCTTTTTGGGTGCAGGGAAACATTTCAATCACAGCTACAGGGGCCTGCATACGAACACTCACCCTTGTCCCCATCAATAGACCACAGTAAGAGGTGCTAAGATTCTGTAGCCCCAGCTCCCCACAGAAGCTCTGTGTATGAAGGAGCAACTCCTCAGCTGGTGGGAGGTGTCACAGCTCCATGGACTGTCCATGAGAGTCGGACTCCTAAATACATTAGGTGCTACGATGCTAAGCACTCCAAGTACCGAAATACCATTAAAAACCTGAGCTGTGGGGGCCACATTCTCAGAAGCCAGAACATCTGGCTCCAGTGGTGGGTGATGGCCTTGAAGGCTTCAGAACAGCTGGCCCTTAATTTCTCATTTCTCAACTGGCGCTAGTGACACTTACCCTGCTTTGTAAGGTGATTGGACTTACACAGAGGAAAATGTCGGATGTATTCTGAGTATGTTGTGTGGTACTGACTTCTCTTCTTCTTTACAGGTGCTATCACCTGTACAGTGTCTTATCACTTGACTCAGCTCACCTCGCTGGAGGCTGAACCCCATCACTCGTAAAAATACCTAACTTGGTCAAACCATACCGAGCTTAGCCTGTGCCGGAGTCTGGTGTCACTGAAGAGTTACTGCCTTTTTCTTTTTTTTTAATACCCAGCTATTTGTGATGCTCGTATTTATTGCATGTCAGGTCTCCTCAGATCAGAGACCATGCATGGGAGAGGAAATAAATGACAGTAACATGGGAAAAGAGTCAGGACTAAACTCAGAGATTGTGAATATGTTTGTCTACCATACAGCCTACACCCACACTGCAGCGCTATTTTCCACGTCTTTTGAGGGCACCTGTTATTTTGAAATATCACGGGCTCACTATTCTGACATCCCTGTAAGCCTCATTCCACAAGGAGTAAGGGACGTTTCGAAAAACTGATTTATTTCAAAATAAGTGTTGTGTAGACAGCACCAAATTTCAAAAGAAGCTATTGTGAAATTGACTCAAAATAAGCTACGCAATTTGCATAGCTCAAATTGCATAGCATATTTCAAGCTACGGATGCAGTGTAGATACAAGTGATCAACTCTGGCTATTTCACAGTTGTTGAATGCTCCTATCCTTCCCCTTCCTCAAGCATCCCAAATATCCACCGCATATTAACACTAATGACAGACACAGCAGAAACTCAGCAGAACAAATAATTGAGCCTAACAAGCTAAGTTCTTGGATTTCGTTGGCTAGATCCTGTTGTAGGCTATTGGAAATAACTCTCATTTCACTCTTCTGCTCCCTCAAAATTTCACCCCCTGGGGATCAAACTCTTCCCTGTATGAAAAAACAATTATCCCCAACTAGCTTTTGAAAGCATTTAAAAGGGAAAACACAGCTTTCATCTTCTGCATTGTAAGCTCTATGGATCGATGATCCCAACGGATAAATATATTAAGCAGAGAGCAGCTCTTCCCTCATGCTAAAAGAACAGAATACACAACATGATATGGGGGGAAAAAAGTTAAATGTCACCATGAAACTTTGCAAAGTTTTATGCATTTATAGGAATGGAGTGAAAAAAAAATCAATAGGATAGGAGATGTTAGTGTAAAATCCAAGCTGTGGATGGATGCCAAGTGACAGGATATAGATACTGAGAAGAAAAAGAAGGTCACAGCTGCAGCCTCTTCTCACTAAATAGTCCCTTGCATGGGATTGCTGGAGAGGTAACAGCCCCAATATATTATGCTCAGCATATATAGCAAAAGCTCCTTATGCCCCAACCATACATGGCTATTTGAACTTGACCTTGGTGCCCATCTCCAAATGGAGTCAGATCCCCATTCCTGTGGAGTGGCACCATACTCTCTGTGCTGTGGTCTATACTAGGGCTTTATTTCTAAATAACCCCCTTTAGCTCGAATTAATAAGCAGAGCGTCCACACAACCAAGCCCGTTATTTCAAAATAACAGGCCTTTTAATCTGAAATCTGTATTCCCACTTTCCTCGGTGAACAACACTAATTTCTAACTAATTATTTCAAAATAACAGTAGTGTGGACACTCCACTGCTGCTATTTTCTAAATAACGACTTCCCAGAGTCATTCAAACTAATGACTCCCCAGTGCTTCCTGAGGCTCGAAGTCGAGGTGGCACACCCTCATTAACGGAGCCTGCCTCCGACTAATTTTAAGTCCCCCTCATAGAGGACATGCTCTTTCGATGTTGTTATTGCAGGAGTTATTAAATCGATTTTCGGTATTTCGAAATAGTTTCCTAGTGACTATCCATCTTGAAGGCCTCGATAACATTGTTGAGGGAGTGACAATTCAGTCTGTGAATGATCAGAAGCCACCCTCTGAAGGAAGGGAATGAAAGGGCAAGTGCCATCAGCTATGTTAAATTGCCTCGTCCTCAAACAGAGAAAACAAACAGCTGGGAAGAGGCGCCGTGGCAAGAGATAGGGAAGAAGTACAAATGAAATGAGCATAATGAATGAAAAGAGTTGTACAGACACAGAAAGGGAAAAGGTTGATACCTGGGAGACTCTGGTGGCTTCTGCTAAGAACTTCTTCATCTCCTCTTCTGTGAACACCACGTTCATCGCCGACCCACTGAGAATAAGGAGAGCAAACCAACAGGTCAGCTTCGTTGAGTGTTGAAAGCAGCCAAGCAAGCGAGACATCAGAGCACTCCCTCTCAGAATACCTGACCAGTATGGAGTAGCCAAGCATAGCCCCGACCCAAACCACTCGCCCCCCTTTCGGCTGGAAGAAAGAAGGAGTCGGTCTCCAAGGTGAATCTCTATTGTCTTTATCCAACATGCCAAGTGATGGCAAAAAGCACCTGAGGAAACAGTGCTTGAGGGAAGAATCAGAGAAGAAGTGGGGCTGTGGCTGGCTCTCCCCAAAGATCCCCTAGCTGATGCCATGCTGTAACGGGTTTGCAAAACTCTTTACATGTTCCAGGAGATGCCTATTCAGCAACCGCCTCTCTCACCTCGGCTCGCCACTAGCTTCTGACCTTTTTCCATGTGTTCATGAGAGCTCTGAGTTCACAATCAAAAGGGATACTTCTAAATGGCTCACCTGCCACAATGGTGCACGGGGCCAAAACTGCACAGGCAGGGGATGTTTACAACTGCGGGAGTGCACCAAAAACGTGCAGGACTTTGCTGAGAATTATTTTGCAGTATCTTTCCCCCGAATGCTTATTAGGGCTTGAGTATCTTATTTGACAAACAATTTCTTTGAAAGCTCACCATCCATAGTGATGGGAGAGGGGGGCTGGAAAAAAGGAGACTTTGAAAGCTCACCATCCATAGTGATGGGAGAGGGGGGCTGGAAAAAAGATGTTCTTTGCCTCCTTTTCAAAACAGTTGCTTAAACTTTAAAAAATTGTAAGGTTGTTATGCTGGTCGGGGAGGGGTTCTGTGTTACATGCTCAGTAATTCTCAACCTCCCCTTTACTTTGGTGTATAATCTCCACAGAAGTTTGGGGAATTTTATAAAGGAAATTTTTAAGGAAAAAAAATTAAAGACGTTTCATCAAGAATCCTTACAGTGTGAGTTGTGATAGCCCATCAGTTTTACCTAAGCTGCTCAATGGCTGTAACGAGAGTATATTCATGGCTTTCCACGGAGCTATCCAATTGACCATCCATGGAGGATGTGGCACACCGTGTATAAGGCAAATACTGAAGTAATCCAAAGATTAAGTATTTTTTTCCAAGTCATCTGGCAAATCTTGAGAATCTTGATTGTAGTTAATTGAGCAACTAAGAATTATAATCAAGGGAACAATTCCCCAGTGGAAACGTGAGGAAAGAAATATGTGCCTACAGGTCTTTTCTGCATTGAATGTCTCCAATCCTATCCATTCGGTTGTTACTTTACACTTACATGAGTGCTTCTACAACATGGTTTAAAAGCCAGTTGGCTGTCAGCAAAGGGTGTGGAGCTGACTCATTGGTCTCTCTGTGAGTGGTAGATGGGACAGTACACCACACCCAGACGGTGTGTGAGGTCCACATGCACATACTTATACTCCCACACACAAACACACATTAGCGTGCAAGCATCCCCTCCAGCCTAAATGTATCTACATGTACTCGAAAAAGCCTTGTCTAAGCAACTACGCTCATAGAAAACTTCCACTGAACTGAACTCGGATGGAAGAAGGAGGATTTATAGAATTTACTCAAAATCCCAGAGTTTTTCCCAGAGAATGTCACCTTTTCTGTCTCATTTAACCATTCTACAGAATTTACCAGAGACTTCTACTCCTACTATTGATGGGATTCTGTAAAAGTGCTATAGAAAGATCATCCTGTCTTACATTCCAAAGGAGTCTTCGGTAAGGATGCAGTGGTCGGCGAATCTCGTTTTTAAGAGAACGGGTTTTTTTGTTCCATTCCAAGTGAATATTATGCCCCTTCCTCTGGATATTTATCTTTCTATTATGAAAAAGGAGCCTGCTCCATTTACACTTGCAAATGGAGCCCAGCAAATTACTTCTCTCCTCTCCACTCAGGAGGGAAGAAATCTCCTTGCAGCATTCACCTCCAAAGAGCCATCGCTCAAACCTTCAGTGTGTGCTGACACAGCTTGTTTCAAAGTCCAGCTGGAGGAAAGGCTTGCTTTTGGAAGACCTCTCTTTAAAGACCCGGAGCTGCCAGACTAGATGGCCATAAAACACGACCATGCGCAAGGCAAGAAGCTGCATCTAGCAGTGTTGATGGGTTATGCTGTCATTGCTGGCAGGATTCATGTTCCTTTCCCCTTTTTCCAGATGCCAGCTCACTTCTCTCTCCACCATAAAGACACACCCTGCAGAATGCTCCCAAGGATAACAGGAGAAGCACAAGCAATGACTCATGCTTTGCAGAAAGAAAAGTATTGCAGCCAACAGATATGAGCAGAACCACGCCCTGCCTCTGATCTGTGTCCAGGGGGCTTAGTGATTTTTGAGTCTCTTTGTCAAGGGGCAGGTGCACAGTTTGTGAAGCCTGAGAGTGCTGTGTTGTCCCTCAGTCTCCTGGAACATGAGACCACCTCTCACCTTCCTCAAAGAGGGCTTGCAGATAGCATATGCAATGCGATGTGCACTGTCAGACACGCTTTACCTCAAAACATAGGACGGTCTCAGCAAACATGGGTAGCCCACGGAGTCTGCAAATTCAACAGCATCTTTCTAAAGGATGGAGAAAGGGGAAACATACCATGAGCAACTATATACTTGCATTGAAAACTTAGACCTGTTCCCACAGCCTGCAGTGAATTGCTGTT